TTTCCTCACTCTAGGGTGAGTCAGTAGAAGAAATCCCATTGATCATTTGAATCATTGCCAGCATGTCATCCTCGCCTCCTTTTCATGTTCCCCATTTGACTACTAGTAATAATGGGCACCATTTACTTGCCCCAACTGCGCAGATATATTTTCAACATTGCAATGTCATCCATCTTCAACTACTGTTACCGCTGTCAGCGTGTTTTCAAGGTCTTACCTCGACTTCGGGGAACCTAGTCATTTCTCACAGGACTATGATCCTGACACCCTAGAACATGAGCAAGACGGTGCGTGTATGTCACTTGATCGATGGAGGCTAAATCTTAGTATGCATCTAGTCTATGGAGAGTATGACGAACTCGATCCTTTGGATGATGCGGAAGAAGTCATAATCCCACATGTCGAAAGTGCTACAGATGACGTATCAGCCTATAAACCCCCCTTTCGTCTGTCCCACATCCTGAGCATATCATCCCAGTACCCCTGAGTCAGTGTGCGACACCCCCCTCGCCTCGTTGATCCCTCTGCAGCCCACGTCCCAGCACATTTAGGGAGTACCATCCCAATGTGCCAATTACCCACCCCGGAGGAGAAAATCATCTCAGAAGATGGACCGCGATGTACATGCCGTGCCGCTATCCGTCACACAGAGACCTTTACTATCCCTTTGCGTCGAAAGCTGAATTTGACCTGGGATACTGGCTTTCAGAGGGGGCGTGTCGCAAAAGAAGTTGATGTTTTCCTCCACCTCGAGCATGTAAGTTGCCTATCTACGTTTCATGTCATCAGTATCTTGATAATAGATGCAGACCAAGAATAATCCGCCCTCTTTCAATACATCTAAGGATCTGTGAGCTCGGATCGAAGCACTACCTGAAGTACCCTCGATGGTACCACCAACAAATAAAGTTGGTTCCTATAAGACGAAAGCACCCTTGGTGCTCTATTGGAGGGATGGTCTCGATGTCGTGAAGCACCTATTCGCCAACCCAGTCTTTGCGCCTTGTATGGATTTCCAGCCGTACCGGGAATTCGAGGGCGCAGACAGTCAGCGAGCTTATGGAGAATTTATGATGCTGATCTTGCGTGGGAGATACAGGTGGGTGGTATCACCAATGATGGGTACTTAGGCTCACTGTAGTAATCATGGCTTGTCAGGATACGCTTCCTCCAGGTCATTCATTTGTTGGTGTGTGTGTCATGAATATTACCAACTGCATCTAAATTTCGATTATCAAACCCTAAGTCCCGTATCCGATAAGATTAGATTAGATAGATCCCTGATAAGATAAGATGGATAACCGATTAACGATCACTATCTTGAATTCACATCTATACTATATCGACGTCATCCATCCTTATCCGTAACCCTAGACATACGAACTCATCACATCCTTAGAAGTCCTACAATTAGACAAACGGGTTACATCATAAGCATCTACATGCCTCTATGATCGAACCATAACCGAGAGAACTTTACGAGCTATCTCTCAAAGGGTCATCACCTCTTCACATCGCACACCTTCACTTCTCATGACATGTTAAGAGTTACCCTCTGTCATTCACCGAACTCCTTACATAAGAACCTGTTGCACAGTCACAGCAGAACCCTGAACCCCTATCACAGAAGTACCACTCATAGAGAAAGCATACTCATTACCGAAGACCCTGGAGAAACCCTTAGATCCGATCATACCCGATACATCTCCAGATCCAGATCCCATCTAGATCCTAGATCTAGATTCCAGATCCTATCTCTTATCGAGATCCTTAATTACCGTTCGAGACTTCTTGTCACAGAAACTCTCTCACACCCTTCTTAATCTCCGTCCACCCTGAATAGAAGCAGTCCCTGAGAACCCTGCTTAATCATCGATACCCTTGGCCCTATGAACCCTTTACCCTTCTCTTCTTGTAGTTGATTGGTTGATAAAGACGCCCTATACCCTAGGTGCAATGTTATGACCGTATATAGTTATATCACATACCTTTCATACTCAGATAGCTCCGCCTCAATAGTAGTATATAGTCTAGGTAGTAGTCAGTAGTACTCCTTAGACTTAACCTCCTCGTTTCTACATCATTGTAGGGCCTAGACGTTCCCTCTCAATCCATCTCGCTTTATCCTCTTTGACTGAGTCCTGTGGTGTGATTCCAACTCCAGACACCTACTAGTTAGGTTAAGGGACGTGGTCATAACATTAGGTTAAGTCTTCTTTACCACCCGACTCGATTGTGTTCGCCCTCTTGTACTCCAACTTTCGGACGACTATCAGACGACGCTCCATATCATCCTTCGCACGATTCTATTTGTCCTTCGACACTCGTATACTCCATCCTCGCAAGAGACGACGATCCGACTCTCGAACGACACTTGTGTCGATACCTTCCTCCCAGAACATCGGCTGTTCTGCTGAGCTTAGTCTCGCGGATCACGTTTAAAACCATCTTTCCCAGACCGCAGCCCCGCACTTCTTTTGTGCACATTCCCTCCCCTAGTTAGTAGAAGTAGACCAGGCCCTGCCTTACTGCAGCCGCCAGTCTATAAGGAACAGTGACATATAGGGTCCTGTATCCGTCGCCTTGAGTGCTGGCCCAATACCTGCCTGCTCAACGCTATATCCTAGAAACCCCTTCGTAGAATTAGAGAACGGCACTCGCGAGTGTAGTAACAATATTGCGTTGGTTCTCACGCATATTGTTTACCGCATTCTAGTATAAATTACCGTAGCCTTTTACCTTAGAACCTAGTTGGCCAAGAAGCCGGCAACTACGTTACTATACGGGCTTAGGTCGCCTCTCTATCATCATTTTCCTTTTCGGTCATATCTTACGAGATCCCTGACAAATAAAAATATACTCTGTTGAATAGGATTCCGGAACGCAGCCGGCAACATGAGATATTCCCGCCCCATACCGTTGATGACTATGAAGAGCTAGCTTCTCAAATCCGAGAAGGCTTTTGCTTTAATATGCATCATGCAAAGGGACCACAAATCACACACTGGATTGGTGTAGAATTTGAAGATGGAGAAATCTCCTATCAGAGCCTTTGCAAGAATTGCGCTAAGGCAAACAAAAAGGACTGTAGACACGTTCCGAATTAGGTGTAGAGGCGCAATGGCTGAATTGCCATCCCTCGCTATCCGAACCGCATACGTTGACACACTCCCATCATCACCCTGCTCGAACCCCTCATCATCGCCCACATCATCTTCTTCATCATCGCCGTTACTGTCATCGAGAGAAATGACAACCCAGTGGCCCAAGATTGCCAACGTACAAAATCCCGAGCCCAAGGTTGCTCCGAAACCCGTAGTAGTCGCGCAGTCCATAGGACAGAAGATACGCGACGAGCCGAAAGGCAAAGGGAAAGAAACCCTTACAGAAAATATCAGGATGTCGTCAGGTTCCTCTAAACCTAAGAAGTTGACTGGTACTCAGAAACCAGAGAAAGTAGCACCAATTGAAATCAAGAAAGAAACCTTCGCGGAAGAAATCTTGAGATTAAAAAGAGACTACGGAATCAAGGACAAGACCACTGAAGCGACTAAAGTAGAAGTCGTGGAAGTAGGAGGTCGTTGAATAAAAGCAGTAGTCCCTGCTAAACAAAAAGACGAGAAATCGGAGACAACTGATGAAACAAACAAAGGACCAGTCGATTCTGGATTATCAAAATCACAAATCAAGAGACAGAAACAAAAGGAAGCTAGATTAGCGAGAGCTTCTTTAGTGAAAGTCTCAGAGCAGAAACCCACTGCCGAAACAAATAAGGTAAAGGAGCAGATCCTCCCTGCTTTACCAAATGAGAAGACGGAGCATGAAACCGTAGAGGAGGTTGCAAAACCTATCGAAGAGTCGTTGTCCGACCTAGATAAAATAATCGCAGAAAACATGCTAAAACGCGCAATGGAAACATTAGAGGCGCTAAGAGTTGCTGAACGCCGAAAGGCCGAGGAAGCAGCAGAGATACTCCGACAGATCAAGGAGGTCTCAGAGGTTGTTATGCCACCAACAATAGAAAAGGCAATGGATGTAGTCCGTAGGACAGAAGAAACATCCAAGGTTGAAATACCTATTGAAATAGAAGGTGCAGTCCGTAGGACAGAAGAGGCACCAGAGATACCGGTTGAAAGTCCGAGGACCCCAAACATCTTATACCGTTCCCCACGACGAAAGTCCGAGCCATACCCAGAAGGCGAAGACGAAGTCCCAGAGAGCTATAAAGAACTGAAGATAGAGATCGTCAAGAAGACCAGGAATGGAATCACCTGGCAGTAATAATCCATCCCACAAAGAGCAAGAATGCTTGTGGCGCAATAGAGGAAGACTGCAGAGAATTCCTAGTCAACGATGTAGACCATTACATCTTATTCAACGACAAAGATTAATCATACCGCCTTAAGCAAAAAAGAAGTTCGAGGTAGATTCATGGTTCACCACGGCTTATGGCCGCCTAATCGCTCAAATGGACGAGTGGAACGATGCCCCATGTACTTGGGATGAAATAGAGGTAGAGATGCCTTTCCAAAGAACTATCTACGAGAAGAAGGAGGAGCTAGCCGAAGTAAAGGCTGGTAAATCAAGGGAAGAACCAATGGAGGAAATAACGACCGCTGGTGTTGAGGAGTATGTGATCAGAATCACTCCCTCACCATGTCCGATCCCCAGAGTGTTTCTACCGAGACATAGGTCCTCTGAAAAACTCAGAAGTCGTCAAACGAGGCGCAAAAACCGGTTAAGCCACCGGTAGAGAAAAAGGCAAATCCTACTCCTAGGGCTTTTAAGCCGAGAACAGAAAAGAAGGAGAAGACCCCAGCCACAGTCTTCAAATTCAAATCCAGAACCCTATGTAGAAACGGCCCGAAGTGCCGATACGGTTCTTTTTGTGCATTTGCACACCCCGAAAGGAGTAGTCCCTCCTTTAAATCAAAAGACAAGATCGGTGTAAGCCCACCGAAACCAAAGGCAGTTCCATCTGTGAAACCAAAGATAGTAGAAAAGAACGTAGACCGTAGGTCAGAAGAAACGTTCTCTATCAAGGGAGCAGCAGAACGAGAACGCAGAAGGAAAACTGCTAAAGAAACCAAAGTAAACTCAAAGAAAGAGATTGAGGAAATAGCGCTAGAAGGTCTAGAAGCGTTATTGAAAAAGCTCATCGCAGAGAAGGCGAAGCAACCCTCAAAGGAATCTATGAGTAAGGGTAGTCCTCCCCCTAAACAAAGGAGTGAAACACCGAAACCGAGTATCGAGAGAAAGCTATATGCTATAGAATGTAAGACCCAAGCGAAGGGCATTCAAGCTACGCTTATCGAGAGAAAGGAAGACGGGAAAAGGCAGTCGATTGCCATGTTTACGAAACCAATGACCAACAACGAAGTCAACTACTCAGCAGAAGACAAGGATTTGCTCTCGATATATAGAGCCCTGCAGGAGTGGAAGCACATAGTTGAAAAGTCACCCCTACCAGTGGAAGTCATTCTAGACTCACGAAACCTGGAAAAAATAGACAAATTGCACACATTGACTAGACGTCAAGCTAGATGGTGTTTATTCCTAGCGCAATTTAATCTCATATGTCTATCCAGGAGGCTAGACCACAAAGGGGGGGTAAAATCCCATATCGTATCAGAAAACTCGAACAATTTCCTTATGAATCCCACTTTCTTCAAGGATCACGCAGCGAAACGAGGCCATACTCTAGTCCATAAGATAGAAAAAACGTTCTTGCTAGTCATCGCAGAGTGTAAAGACAGAGACGCCGAAGTAGCTAAGGTGACCAAAGAAAGGAAACTCGAGAACGTCCGACTAAGAAAGGGACTTGAAGAGTGGAATTCAGAAGAAAATCTCATCCTCCACAGAGGACTGGTATATGTACCAAAAAGAACGGATTTACGCAACAGTCTATTGGATTTATACAAAGGTTCCGCCCTTGGTCCTCTAAAGAGCTTGTTGGAAAGAGTATCGCAGAACTATTGGTGGCCAGGCATGGCGCATGAAATCAATGCCTATGAAAAGAAAGACAAGGTTGACGAACCGCTTAGCGCTGTATTCGCACCTAAATCAAGTCTTCAGAAGCGGGTTAGATTCCAGGAATCAAAAGACGCACCAAAGAAACTCTGGCAAGCCGCCGACGCCGCTCACCATGACAACGTCTTTACTCCTCGAATAATCCCCAACGCTGCACCAATACCCTCCGCACCATCCGTTCCCAAGGTGATCTTAAGTAGAGAAAGAAAACCAGAATCGCAGTCACAATCCCCAAGTAGAATGTCCAAGGATCAGAAGCTATCGCCGAAAAGAGAGACATCATGGAATGAAAAGAGAACAGCATTGAGAGAAGAAAAATTATACGAAGGTTTCCTTAAATGGAAAAAAGAAATCTCACGCTCAATCTAGACAACCATATCGATTCGCGAGGACGCTCATCCTTAAAATGGGGGTAATGTCATGAATATTACCAACTGCATCTAAATTTCGATTATCAAACCCTAAGTCACCGTATCCGATAAGATTAGATTAGATAGATCCCTGATAAGATAAGATGGATAACCGATTAACGATCACTATCTTGAATTCACATCTATACTATATCGACGTCATCCATCCTTATCCGTAACCCTAGACATACGAACTCATCACATCCTTAGAAGTCCTACAATTAGACAAACGGGTTACATCATAAGCATCTACATGCCTCTATGATCGAACCATAACCGAGAGAACTTTACGAGCTATCTCTCAAAGGGTCATCACCTCTTCACATCGCACACCTTCACTTCTCATGACATGTTAAGAGTTACCTCTGTCATTCACCGAACTCCTTACATAAGAACCTGTTGCACAGTCACAGCAGAACCCTGAACCCCTATCACAGAAGTACCACTCATAGAGAAGCATACTCATTACCGAAGACCCTGGAGAAACCCTTAGATCCGATCATACCCGATACATCTCCAGATCCAGATCCCATCTAGATCCTAGATCTAGATTCCAGATCCTATCTCTTATCGAGATCCTTAATTACCGTTCGAGACTTCTTGTCACAGAACTCTCTCACACCCTTCTTAATCTCCGTCCACCCTGAATAGAAGCAGTCCCTGAGAACCCTGCTTAATCATCGATACCCTTGGCCCTATGAACCCTTTACCCTTCTCTTCTTGTAGTTGATTGGTTGATAAAGACGCCCTATACCCTAGGTGCAATGTTATGACCGTATATAGTTATATCACATACCTTTCATACTCAGATAGCTCCGCCTCAATAGTAGTATATAGTCTAGGTAGTAGTCAGTAGTACTCCTTAGACTTAACCTCCTCGTTTCTACATCATTGTAGGGCCTAGACGTTCCCTCTCAATCCATCTCGCTTTATCCTCTTTGACTGAGTCCTGTGGTGTGATTCCAACTCCAGACACCTACTAGTTAGGTTAAGGGACGTGGGTCATAACAGTGTGATTGGTGCTTCGGACAAAACACCTCTGACCATTGGGACCGGAAACAAGGAGATGCATCCCCTGTTGATCTCGCTCGCTAATATCCATGCGGGCGTTCGCATGAAGGCGACATCACACGCATTCGCTTTGGTCGCTTACCTGCCAATACCAAAGTTTCTCAACGTCTCGAAGCCCGTACATGCGATTTTATCCGCGCGAGTCTATCATTTCGCGATTTCAATTGTCATGCGTAATTTGAAACTTGCCGCTCGTGATGGCTGCCCTATGTCAGACCCCAGAGGAGATTTGCATATGATTCATACACCTTTGGTCGCCTGGATAGCCGACTACCCTGAACAATTGCTCATTGCATGTACGGCCTCGAAGCGTTCTCCGATTTCTCTTGCTACCGCTGCCCAATTTGGGGATCCTCTTCCGCATCCTCCTCGAACTCGTTCTAACACTCTCGACACTATCGAAAGGGCATGCACTATTTCCGAACCCTGCGACATCGCATCCTTCTATAAGACATGTCAAGCCCTTCATCTGAATGGTGTTGTTGAACTGTACTGGAAGGATTGGGGCCATGCATGCCCATCCTTCTTTTTGATGCCAGATGGCCTCCATCAGTGGCACAAATTTTACTTCAACCACCCCATCAACTGGTCTATAAACATCATGGGGGGAGCGGAACTCGATCGTCGACTGTCAGTTCTTCAACCCCGTGTAGGAGTGCGTCATTGGGCGAATGGCGTTTCCACGCTGAAGCAGCTCACTGGTCGAGAACATCGAGACCTTGAGAAGCTCCTTCCTGGCGTGATTGTTGGTGCTGTCCCTGATGAAGTTGCATGTGCACTACGTGCTATCACGGAATTTATATTCCAAGCACAGAACCTCTTCCTTTACGACAAAACCTTACATTCTTTATCCGAAGCCCTCCGTGAATTTCACTACTATAAGGACTTCATCCTGACAGCGGGTGGCCGCCGTGGCAAGAACGGTCTCCTCAATCACTTCCAGATCCCCAAGCTAGAGTTAATGCAGCATGTCACCCGGAGTACTCGAGCCATGGGTGCTCCATATCAATGGAGCAGCGATATTACTGAGCGTTGCCACATCACTCATGTGAAGCGGCCTTACCGCATGTCTAATCGCAGGGATTTCCACGGTCAGTGCTGCCGCTTCCTCGACCGGCAGGAAAAACTGCAATTCTTCCAGCTTTACACAGTTCTAAAGTCACAGCGGGCAAGCTTGATCTATGAAATGTCCAGGGAAGCAAACACGATGGCACTCCACTATCCCGAAGCAACCTGGATCTCTACTGTTCTGCCTGGTGAGCAGTATGCCGTCACCGGCAAACCAATCACTTCCCTTTTCACCAACAATTGCACTCATTTTTCTTCCGACGACACTGTCGCAATCCTCCTTACTTGCCGTCCGCATTTCCCTCGCCTATCTATTGAAGAAGCTTCTCAATGTTTCCACATTCCCAATCTCTGTCCAGCACTGGGTGATCTGATCTCTGGTAGATCTTACCTCGAGCGCAGTGGAAGGCGAATATGTCGTCCCAACTGTTCTCTCTCCTTTGATTACCTTCACGTTTGGCAAAAATTCCGCATGCAGCGGCGCTCTACGCAAGATAGCCATATTGTTAGTCCTGCTCACACCGTCCAGGCACTACCACCAAGCTCTTCGATGCCGTTTGGAAGGGGAGATACTGTCTTGATTACTCACGAAAGCGGCGAACTACTTTCGCCCGCCACTTCTGAACGTATGTGTATACTTTTCCCTATAACTTCTTCGCATCTTAGCCCCAGAATCCTAGGGTATCTCATTGTCCAAGTAAAAGCTATCATCCAGCCTATTACTGAAACGCCCCGCCTGAACCAACCATTTCTCTATGTCGAATTTTTCAACTTCTCTCATTCATCATTCAGCACCATCGACGATATTCATTTCATTACTCCAGCTCCTGTAACCGACATGTTTTCAGTTCAACGCCGTGTTCAATCGAACCATGATCCCTTGGGAGACATAGTGCCTCTGGACAGCGTGCGTCAGGTCATCAAGCTTATTCCCAAGTTCGGTCGAGAGGTACCACTGTCAATGAATCGTGACAATAGTTTGCAGCTGGCACGCGAGTTTTATGTGAATAACTTCGCAGACAAAGAGACCTTCCATGCTATTCTCAGTTGCCAGTAGTTTCTTCTTGAACCTGTACTACCGCTAGTTTCCCTCAATCCCAGTTTCCTGCCTGGCAAAGTTATTGAATGGCGAGCAGTGATCATCATCATGATCACTTCAGTACTATCATCTTATCGTGCTGCAAAGATCATGATAAACTCTTAATCATGATCGCTTACTGAAAATTACGGATACATTATAGCATTTCGAAAGTCCCGGAACCAGTACGGAGGTTTTAGTACTACTAGCTGCTACTGGCTGCTACAGTCGATTTAAAAGAAGCGCTGTGCTACAAGCTGCTACAAGTCACTTCGCTCGGCAGTGGGTTTCCTGATGTAGTTATAAACGGCATGATGATAATGAATTACAGGGGATGTGAGTGTACAGTGAGCAAAATTTCACTAAGTCTAACATTTCCTAATTGAACGAAAATTTCACGCCGGTGCCATCCTTTATGCAAAGAGATGTAAGTGACTAATACATGCATATACTAGGCCCGGCCGCCCAGTCGCTGTATTATGACACTTCTCCTGAATCCTCCTTCGTATGTCTGCGTCCGAGTCTCTCGTTGTCTGCTATGCACACATTGACCCTGTCACACATTTATTCGCAACTACTCGAGTTTAATGCAGAGGCTGGGTACTTTCCTGGAACACCAATGCAGTTCTCTTGCTTTCAACACCAAAATCTGCCATCGAAGAAGTCTGACGAGGACGAGCCCGTCGTGATATCAGGACCATCTGGTTCACCTGTGCCCAATATACCGCTGAATGAAGTGTCGTCCGACTTCATCGTACCGGAAGCTTTCAGCTCAGCTCTCATATAACTAGTCTTTTTGTTTTGCCTCACTTTCCTCCACTTGTCACCTGCTCGCTTGCTCTTGCCTGGCCCTTTTTCATTTCCTCATCCCGCTTGTTCTTACACATTCTTTCACACCTCACGTCTCGCACATCCTTTCATGAATCATTCTCATGATGCTCTCGTTCTCATTATCTTGTTGTGTAAGTATGCGTACGACGGTTATACTCTTTATACATGTTGACCATACTGTACATGACACAATGAAATGCAAATTTCGTTCCGTCCAGTTCTCCCTTGTGCTCCAATGGGAACAACGACCGTCACAGAACGTTCAAATCTAACAGCAGCAGTAGCAGTCATCTTCCGCTCTTTCAATCCGCTGCGAGGAGGCGAAGTAAATGGTAAACTCGATATCTCATTGTATCCGACATCTTTACAAATCAATTGTGTGAATACAATCATCGTCAACGAGGTCTACAAGTGTTGAAGTCAGCAACTGTGGGGGCCGGACAGGGTTAGAGACTCACTCATCTCGGCAATGCTGCCAGCGTGTTCCATGTGCCATGCAACTCAAATCAAGCTCGACACCTCTGGGTAACACCAATGCGGTCCAAGGTGTGTAGAATGGCTTGCGGGAAGCGGGTGGCACCCAGAATAGGAGCCGACCATTGGGTCCTAGCATCCACCCATCATCTCCCAGCAAAAACGGGGTCAGCTTGCGGTCATCATGAGAGGTGCCCTCGAGGAGCTGGGCAGTGTCCGCCAGTGAATGAGTCGCGTTGGATGAGAAGCGAATGAAGTCGTCGTTCGAAGTGGTAGTTGTCGTGGTAGTGGAAGCCTCAGTGGGATGCGTGGTGTAACCTTTCTCTGAAAATTTCGAGTGATCTTTCTCGGCGCACTTCTGCAATGGCTGCCCAACAACTGCATACCAGACCCGGACAGTGCCATCATCCGAACAGGACACAATGCGAGTCCCATCCCGCGAGAACGAGACTAAACTAACCCAATCGGTGTGCCCCTGCAAGGGCTCACCAACTGGCTGCCCCGTCGCTGCATCCCACAGCCGGATAGTCTTGTCATCCAAACCAGACACAATGCGAGTGCCATCCGATGAAAACGAGACTGAGAGAACAGAACTAGTGTTCCCCCGAAAGGGCTCACCGACTGGCTGGCCCGTCGCTGCATCCCACAGCCGGATGGTATCATCGTGTGAACCAGACACAATGCGAGTCCCGTCCCGCGAAAATGTGACTGAGGAAACACCAGAAGTGTGCCCCTGCAAGGGCTCACCAACTGGCTGCCCCGTTGCTGCATCCCACAGCCGGATAGTCTTGTCGTACGAACCAGACACGATGCGAGTCCCATCCAGTGAGAACGAGACTGACCAGACCCAACCAGTGTGACCCCGCAAGGGCTCACCAACTGGCTGCCCCGTTGCTACATCCCACAGCCGGATAGTATTGTCGTACGAACCAGACACAATGCGAGTGCCATCCGAGGAAAACAAGACTGAGCAAACCAATCCAGTGTGCCCCCGTAAGGGCTCACCAAGTGGCTGCCCCGTCGCAGCATCCCATAGTCGGACAGTGGTGTCATTCGAACCAGAAACGACGCGAGTTCCATCCAATGAGAATGAGACTGATCTAATGACATCAGTGTGCCCCTGCAAGGGCTCACCAACTGGCTGCCCCGTCGCTGCATCCCATAGCCGTACAGTGTGATCCTGACAACCAGTCACGATTCGAGTCCCGTCCGGCGACAATGAGACCGAGGAAAAAAGCATGCTTTGCTCCGCTATGGGCTCACTGACTGGCTGCCCTGTTGCTGCATCCCAAAGTCGGACAGTGGTATCATTAGAACCAGAGACGATACGAGTGCCATCAGGCGAGAATGAGATGGAGTTAATCCATCCGGTGTGCCCCTGCAAAGGCTGCCCGACTGGCTGCCCTGTTGCTACATTCCACAGCCGGACAGTGTTATCACAAGCACCAGATGCTATGCAAGTCCCATCGGGCGAGAAGGAGACTGATTGAACCACATTAGTGTGACCCCACAAGGGCTCACCAATCACTCCCCGATCACTGCATCCCACAGCCGGACAGTGTAATCATTGGAACCAGTCACAATGCAAGTGCCATCCGGCGAGAACGAGACTGAGGAAACCAAATCAGAGTGTCCATACAAGGGCTGACCGACTAGCTGCCCTGTCGATGTATCCCACAGCCTGACAGTCTTATCCCAAGAACCAGTTGCAATGTGAGTCCCATCCGGCGAGAATGCGACTGAGGTGACCGGTTCTGTGTGTCCCTGCAAGGGCTGACCGACTGGCTTCCCTGTGGCTGCATCCCACAGCCGGACTGTGCGATCCCAAGAACCAGTCACAATATGAGTGCCATCCGGCGAAAATGAAACTGCGGTAACAATACTAGTGTGCCCCCGCAAGGGCTCACCGACTGGTTGTCCCGTCGCTGCATCCCAAAGTCGGACAGTGTAATCCCTTGAACCAGACACAATGCGAGTGCTGTCTGGCGAGAACGAGACTGAGGTAACTCCTCCAGTGTGCCCCAGCAAGGGCTCACCAACCGGCTGCCCCGTTGCTGCATCCCACAGCCGGACAGTCTTATCCTTTGAGCCAGTTGCGATGCGAGTCCCGTCCGGCGAGAACGAGACTGAGTTGATTCTACCAGTGTGGCCGGTAAGTACGGTCTGACAAGCATGCCAGTTCGCATCACGTCCAGATGCTAGACGCAGAGTATTCGTGAATTTTGCCGCGATTTTTTGAGATACCGCAGAGTTGATGGGCAAGAATGGTAGTGCTGATACGTAGAGATGTGGTGTGCTGTGCAGGATGATACCGCCGAAGACTTGAATGAATCTCTGCACGTCCATTGCAGTGGACGAGGCATCTTCGTATTCGGAGTGCTTCTGTCATTGCGCGTGAGTATGTCTCTGAGAGCGCTTGGTAACCATGTGCTTACCTTTAGCCACTGCGCAATGTGCGGAAGGGCAGCAACTGCGCCACTGAGTGCCTGAGTGAGGCCAAGTACTTCGAGCCAGAAAAAAAGTCGTTCGTGGTTAAAAAACACTTTTACTTCCTTCGCAAGCTCCGCATTCAAGTCCGTTTCTTGTACGTGCACCGGCCAAAACCGACAGGAGTAGGATAGATGTGGGGGGATGTGTTCTTTGAGCCGTTCTCGCAGCCCGGGGTCTTCAGAATTAGGGAGATATGAAGACGTCAAGTGGCAGATATTGAAGCGAAGGCCATGTTCCATCACTCGAAGTGATGCAATCGCAAGGTCGTGTTGGACCTTCGACACGTCAACGAAAAAATCCCCACTGCATGATTGGTCCGTCAGGAAATCGCGAAAGGATGCATGAAGGGGTCGGATGGGGGTAGATGCGTTGGTGCCGCCGAGGAGGGATCCCATATATTCAATCACGACCTCCACTTTATAATGCTCGCTTTCGTCTGGGAAATGACTCCGCATGACATTCATGGAGTTCAAAGGGAGGGGTTCAGCTGCGCCAAGGATTTGTCCCATCACGGAATGAAACCTTGCGAGCTGTGTGCGCTGAGATGCAGCATTTGGATGTTTATGATTTAGCATGATTTCTGTCAAAATGAAGTTGTACATATCGTACAACAAGTGTTCGCGATCGGTAGGATTGCGAGACATCAGAGCATTGAAAGACTCAATTGGAGATAAGCCGGGAGGGGGTTCTTCGATAATGTCGCAAGCAAGACGCGCCCACTCAAACATACCCTCAGATTTCTTGGCGACGGCTGCAAACTCTCCACTCCCAAAATCCGAGAGCCCCTCCAGCTTCTTCGATACGTAAGCGTGGATGTCGCGCTCCGCGAGTTCTAGTGGAATGCCATCCATGGATATCCGTCGAATATGCTGAGATCCGCCAAGCTCCTTCTCAATGTCGCGAAGCGGGCGAGAGGTCACGATAATCCGGAGGTTGGCTGGGAGCTCGGTGATGTTGGGAACAGCCTGTCTACCGGAAAGAATGGGTAGAAGGCGACGCCGTGTCTCGACTCCGCCACTCTCGTCGAGTGCGTCGATCACGACCACGACAGGTCCTGCAGTGGACCCTGAGAGCTTCGCTAGGGGTTCCACGAGAAGCTTCTGCCACTGCTGGACAATATCCGGAGTATTCTTGAGTGCACTCGCATTCTGAACGACCTCTGCCAATGCTCGTCTCATCTCCGGATCATGGTCAGCGAGGTCGCGCGCGATGGTGGTAAAAATCTTTTCATGGCGATGGTCGGCTTCTCGCTGGCGATCGAAGCAATAACATGAACCAAGCCCTCCCACATCATTGGACCAGTTAGCAATGGTGTGAGCAATGGCGGATTTGCCTGTGCCTGCAGGGCCAGATAGCCACAGCACACGTGGTACATCATCTCCGGTGCTGTTGACCCAGTTGGTGATCTCTGAGAGGATTTCTGCGCGCGTCCCTGGTAGACATTGTTTCCCGGTATCTAGTCCAGCGCCCTCCGCACAGGTCATACTGCCGAGGTCCAGTATTTCACCTGAAAATGTATGAATAAGTGTCAAGTCAGAAGCGCGCACGAACCCTTACCCGTACGGTGAATGAAGATGGCTACGTCCCGAAGGGTTTGGTCCCGGAAGTTTTGCATGAGCTTATCCAACACGTTGTTGTACTGTTGAATCGTGCCATCTGTTTCCGAGATGATGTTCTTTCCGGATCTCTTCCCTACGATAATGTCGAAAAATAAGAATGTGCAAAATGCAATGACATGTTGGAAACTCACAAAAGCTCTTGGTTTCCGAATAATCCCTGATGAAATGGGCACATTGAAGGGTCTGCTGAGATATCTGTCCAAGGATACTGTGCATTGCCGAAATATGACGAAGCGTCTGATCTTGGGTCATAAAGCTGTAAACTTCATCCAGCTTGTCGACAAGACGTTGTACGGCTTCGTCGCGTCCTACTTGAGCAAGAATGATCTGTATGAACAGTTGCTGAGCAGGAGCAGCAATAAGAGCGAAACCACACATACTTTCGACGCACAAGACAACACGCCCAGTGCCATCTTTGCATATGGATGTACCTGTGGAACGAGATTAGTTGATTTCAGACCAACAGGAATGGCCCATACATCCGCGATATTGCCGATCACACTGTCAAATATCTTGAGGGGCTGGAGATATGTGTTCTGAAAGTTATCTGCATTATCGAGAGCCGCTGATGCATTTTGGCCCGTGGACGCTACAGATTTCACACGTCCTGAGAGTGAATTCATCCCTTTTGCAGCTTCTTTGGCGTCTCGAATTGCCGTTTGGGGATCAGGATCTTGTTCCACGCCCGAAGCGGCAACCGGAACCTTTGGGACCAACAGAAATTAGGGAGAGCGCAGAAACCAAATGAGAGTTCGAGCCCCTACCTTAAGATTCGGAGTCAATGAAGCACGTTCATGATCGACAGGCGGGAGAACATGGTTGCTGCTGCGGGAATCTTTCGAGCGCTTTGAATGATCTCGGTATCATTCCAGACACTCGGCACGCATTCTCGTCGACTCACCGATATCTTTTTAACCACATTTTTAGCCTTCCCTAGAAATCGACGGACTCCGCCCGGTCGGTTCTAGATAAAAGATACATCAGACTCAGCGTTTGAAGCGTAATAGAGTTCATCCTCATAAAATATTACGAACCGAGCTTTCAGCTATCGCTTCGCTAGATACGCGGATTTCTGGAGGTCTCGAACCCCTCGATTTTTTGTGTTTAGTCATTGTAAATGGTTGAGGTTGGGGATCGATTTGAACCAAGTCGGGTGTACGAAATAGTTGGAGATCAGGCCATGCCCTTGACCGCAAGCCTCGAGGCAATGCTTGAGGCAATGTTTGGTACAGTTGTTGACTCCAAACGCTAAATATTTGGCGCCCATGGAATTCTGGAATACACCAAGGAGCGAGTCATTAGTAACGTACTTCGTCATTGAAGTGCTCTAACAGCGTCGTGCAGTGCTGTGGGAATTGTCTCGAGACATGGTATGCAACGTACACATACTCCAGCACCGATTGCCCAGCCACCTCTGCAGCTCATCCACGGCCTCAAATCTCTTTCCAGAGGTGCCATATCCGAGTCTCTCTTTCCCTCCTTTTGAACGCGAACCCCACATTACGAATAACACACAAGAACCCAAGAGACATCGGCATGGCAAAGTCAGATGGAGAAGTCTCCTACCTGTGCCTACCATCCCTGCGCTTCTACCATGGCCATCACAACTTGTCCATTTGCGTCTGCGACGACCTCTGTATACTTAGTTTATGAGAATCCTCCCATGCCAGTGGACCATGCACTTCACTTGCGGTGGGTGAAACCATATTATCTTTGGGACACATCTGCGCGCGCGTTTTCCGGACTCGGTAGTCCAATTGCTTGTGTCTCAGAACAGATAGCTAACATCGTGTTTCACGCTCAATCCATGCTGGTTCAATTCTCGGCTATCATTGAACGTTCAGTGTGCGCACTGCTCGTGATTGTACGAACACCGTTTTGAGAGACCAAATCAAACTCAACACATTGTCATATAGACATCACCGATGCAGTCCGGGAATTATAATTTGAGATACCTCTCGTGAAGTGAGTAATGGATGAACCCGCGGACTGGGCCTACAAAATACCACTCCCAATGCGGGCCTTGGAAGCCCCACCGTTCAAAATTGGTTCAAGCCAGGTTTGATGCATCTCTTTGAAAGTCGCTTGTTGTAAAAATGATGCTTACGAGCCCAAAGAGATAATGGGCACTATTTATGCATCGGTAAGTATTCCAGAGTCTGCTACTCGACGTACACCAGGCAGTCAACTCATGTGATGCATGTGAACTACGAATGAACGAAAGTGATATATGACTGACCAGAACCACAATACTTATCATATCAAATTAGCCAGGCGTACAAGAAAGGACTTCCCCCTTCGATGCGGTCACAGTCTGCTTGGTCCGGAAACACTTAATTCAAAGAAGTCTGAACGCATACTCTTCGTGGTGTCACATTGAACGAGACAACGATCTATCGTAGTACCTCTAGTGTCACCCTGGAAGCTTCCCACCAGAAGGTCGACACAAACCAATGATATTTCACGGACTTCAATAGAATAAAAACTTGCCTTTCTTCAGATACGAAGCTCAGTGGCACTAAGCGTAATCATAAACAAGTTCTTTGATGCTGGCTTCACAAGTTGAAGTGGCCGATTGATCTACTGAAGTGTCAGAATCAGTTTCCACTGTGGGTCAACATGTCTGGCACCAGCAACGAGTGTGCTCTCGTGTCATATACCTTACCGCTGCTACCACCATTACTTCACTGACAAGAGCATGCATTGTCCGACATTATACAAAACATGCAGTGATAGAGTATAATATGAAAGTCACCGAAAGTTCGGTGAACAAGTACAGCCCACTTGGAGCATCATTCGGTCATCGACGTCATCAAACACAGTCTGAAACCCCACAAAGCTTGTTGGTTCGTTGAGCGCATGAGTGCAAGTGGTGCCTTTCAGCCTCCTCCGTCCTAAAAACACATGGGTTAATATTTGCATCATACACAGACAGTAAAACGCACGGCTTATTCAAAATACTGTCGGGGCCCCTGTACAGCATGGCATCATAGAAAAATGCAGCCACGACCATGCCTAAAATCGGGCCGAGGATAGGGCACCAGAGCCAATACTGATTCCTGAAATTGAAGACCTCGCGACCATATCCAACCATGGCGGTGAGGATACGGGGACCCAGGTCGCGAGCGGGATTAAGGGCGGCTCCAGTATCCATGCCAAGAGATGAACCGATGGCAAGGAGTATAAAAAATAATGCAACAGGAAAAACACCGGGAGGCGCAGGGCCATTCCTTTTATCCGTGGCCATGAAAATTCCAGTGATGAGTATAGCAGACCCTATAAACTACATCCGGTCGTCAGTATACATTCGATTGAAGACTGTTAGTCATGCATACACTCACTTCAGCGAAGAAGGCAGAGACTGAAGGGAGGTAATCGGCCTAGGTGCACATAAGCCCGAGGAAGTCATGCCGACAGAAGGTCAAAACTTACTGCGTAGGTCCCAAACAGCTTACCAGTTGCTGAAATTGTACGAATATTGGAACCCCCTTCGACGATGTTGATTGCATGGTAGTAAGTGGCGTAGACTACACCTGATCCACACAAGGCTCCCAGAAGTTGTGCAAGGAGGTAGATGGGAACTTTCTTCCAGGGGAACCCGCGGACGCTAGCAAACGCTATGGTTACCTTGATGGTAGTTAGTAATAGTTGTATGCAAAAATATTGCCGGTCCACTCACTGCAGGGTTCAAATGGCCGCCTGAGTAGTTTGCAGACATCCATACACCAAGAGAGAGTCCTGACCAGCACGTAAGGAAAATGTTCGACGCACTAAAATACAAGGATACTCACCAAGGGCCCAGCATATGTTAGACGTGAGAGCGTCCTTTTAACAGCACTACTGAGCTTCAGTCCATCCATGGCTCTCAACGCCTTGAACTCACCCCCTTCGGGCTGGCAGACACACTTGTGTTGACGGAAAGAGTCGCCTGGCAATTGCCACCACATCCAAGCAGACATAGGATGAAGGCACCCATGAACTCGGCTGCAGGTGCACTGATGTGCTCCCTGCAACATGTCAAATCAGAAAATGTCAATAATTTGAGGACCGACACCAAGTACCTGATTCCTGACCATCGATTGGGGTGCCGAGTGCATCGATCGCAGTCAGCGAAGTCAACAACGCCTACGGCAGAGACCTCGTTAACTTGAGTCGCATGGAAGATGCTCGACGTCTCGTAATGACGCAGAGTAGGCTTTTCGACGATATCCGTCATCTTACACCGAGCAAATGGAAGGACCGAGTGCTAAACCTGCTGAGGAAGACGTTTCGGCAACCCTTTTATAGCCTGATTCTTATCTTCTATGATGAATACCACGTACAGAGTGTCCGGGACTCCGAATATGAGTGTAATGGATAGACTATCTGCGGAAAGATTATATACATGCATTAGTTTCGTTCGATACATATTCGTGCCTATTAGGTTGCTATTAGCCAATCAGAACCCATGGAAAAACGATTCCGTGCCTTGTTTAATTAATTTTCGACTACTCGGTTTTGCAAAATCGTGTGTACTTTGCAAAGTTTGCATCGATCAAACTGTAAGAAAATTCATTCAAACCGCGCTATTCCATGTAGGGAGATGGACCAACAGGGTATGTGATCCTTGACATCCAGCGCGGCGTTGTGTCAATGTCATAGCCGCCGGCCCTTTCCATCGACTGAACCAACTCGATCAAAGTCGAATGCGCCGAGGTTACGCTGCAGTAACTTCTTGGCGAGCTTATCGGTCTAAATTGGTTACTTGAATAGTTAGCAACTCCCTTTTTCTACGCCCCTTAGGCTCGAGACCAGCCTGGCTCATACCATGGACAAATCGAGTAGAACCCTTCTCTGAGGGACACTGTGGGTCAGTTCGAGGCGGGAAGTCGCATCTTTGGACAGTCACCTACTCTACAACCTCCAGCGGACCTGCAAAAGTTGCAAGATATCGTCTTTTTCATGGAAAATGATGTCTCAACAGCACCTTATCTTTGCCAGGTTAGACGGTCCCTCACGTTCTTGGCAACGAAACTTAAGCACATGACCCGGGAGGCGCTTGTGCTCGTCATAGGACATTCCGGGGAAGTACTAGCACCATTTCTTCTTTTGTTCAGATTCAAAAAATTGAAGATCTCATCAATATTTACTGACCTGTCGATCCGGTGTTGGGGAAGAGAGCATGTCTGACAGCAACTTACTTTCTACCTTAGGCGCGAAGGTTGAGACGTTCTCTTGCACCATGGCATATATATAATCTCTCCGTCCCAAGTGGTCTTGTTGCTGGGAGACGTCATATGCAGCTTCCTCGTCCATGAAGCCATTTTTAACGACGACGAAACCATCCTCCACATAATGGTCGAACTGCTCAGCTGCATATTGTTCAGCACGATCAAAATTGAGTCATGTTTTCCGACTTACGCGTGCGGTACTTACACTGCTTGTAGGTTTGATGCCGTTAATGATGAATGTGAAGCTCGGGGGAATGCGTACATGAAATGCTTATCAGAGTTGGCTAAGCTGTCATGACGTAAAGATTAGATGTCCCATCATGTTGATTGCGTTCGGTACCAACGACAGGAGTTACGATGAGTTAGCTATAGAGCCTGTTAGGGCGGGGTCTGCGGGGGTCCGATCTCTGTTTCAGCAGTCACGAGACTGGCGCCGGCGAAAAGGAAGAAGCCTCAAGAAGGGTCAGTTGATAGGAACGTGGTGTCACTGTCGATAAATGCATTTCAGTAGCTGATATGGAAGTGAGAATAAGTAACGCACGTTCGACGCTACGAAAAAAAAAAAAAACCAAAAAAAAACTCAGGGATGTCACTTGAATGTCACCACTTCGTGTGTTCGGAAATCGCTCCTGCCAGGTCCAACAAGAGTGGTAATACCTTAGATGATGGAGGGTCTCAATCAACTGAGGCTGTCTCCAAGAATGGATCTCCAAACATCTCCTGACTTGCATCGAGTTGTTTTTTTTTCTGGCAGAAGGATAAGTCCAAAAACGCGCAAGTACTGGGACGATTCACATGAAAGACAAGGGCTGTTGTACCGTCCTCGACAATATGGCCCCGATGGTATTCCAACGCAATTGAGACCCCTGCTCCATGTGCTCCAAGTATTAGCCAAGGGTACATCATCTCACCAGATCGTCCACGGTGATTAGCGCGCGACACTTGATTTATTTGATCCGGTCCATTAGTTCATGCTCTCACCCAGTCAGCTTTCCACCAACTCCAGACTCGGAAGCAATGATAGACACAGAATACACGGTTATATTGCTGTACAATCAATAATGTCGTGCTTCATGTATTTATTTGACATCTCAAGTAAATCCTCGAAATTTCATAGATCATGTTGAATAGGCTATTGTCAAGTGAAACTGCAAAATACGGGAAAGTAGGATGTAAGTCGTTTTATCTATACACCGCGTAGCTCAGAATGGGCTGAGCATAAGAGAGAAGTGGGTAAAATGCATCCTCCCAGTAAAAATGAGAGCCACAATTATGGTAGGAGGCGCCTTCAATGAGGCCAGGAGGGTGGTACATAGCGTCTGCTAGATGAGAAATGAATAGATTTCAAGCGGTGGTTGAGATGATGATGCTGTGTCACCGTGGGATGCGTGGTATGATCTCTATGCGGAAAAAACAAGAGCAATCATTCAGCGCACTCAATCAATCGGACACGAAAGTCTCACCCGGCGAGAACGAGGCTGAGCTAACCCAATCAGTGTGCTCCCGCAAGGGCTCACCGAATGGCTGCCCCATTGCTGCATCCCACAGCCAGACAGTCTTGTCTGACGAATCAGACACGATGCGAGTCCCATCCGACGAGAACGAAACTAAGGGGATTCAACAAACGAATAGGTATGAGCGGATGTCAAGCCAGAAGAATCTCTGAATCCTTACCTGTACGGGGGACGCAGATACCTACGTCCCAGACAACTCGGTCCCATAATTGTCGCACAAGCCAATCTGGTACGTCAATGTACGATTGGATCGTGCCATTCGTATCGCGATCCATTCGAGGATGAACTATCTGCAGGGATAACGGCTAAGCAGGAGATTGGACTCGGGGCAAGATTAAACGTACTTTGAATGTACAAGACAATATACTCAGTGCCGTCGTGTGAGAAGTCGGGGAAGGGAGTGAACCTGCCTGATTCCAGCGCTGGTCGATTAAAAGCCCTTGACCGCAAGCCTCGAGGCAATGACGACATGCTGACTTAGAGCGCTAATGCGGCATGCTGCAAGGGCAGAAGTTCGGCATTACCAATTACCAATTAGAAATGTTTACAAAGGGAGGAAGGGAGGCAGGTTATAGTTTACAAGATGACTTGCAGGGCATCCCAGTCGATTTCGGATGTCTTCAGTCGTCATGAACATGGTTTATTGTCTGGACTTGCCAAGTACTCAGCAGGAAGTGATATCAGCTGCCAACCTGCCAGTGATTATACAGCAATTGACCAGTATCGAAACGTGATTCCCGAACTATTGTTCAAACTTCACGATCCACCATTTATCACCTTGTCGAGTCAAACATTGCGGGGGGACTGACTCTGTTCAGTCTTGATGGCGAGCTATAGCAAACAAAGTCGGTAACGAACGCGCACTGGATATCACGGCGACGAAACCATCGTCAACTTTCAAGGGTGACAGCACCTCCGAGGTGATAGCAACTTGAAGGTAAACGATCATCTGGAGATGGAGGGAAATCTAACTTGAAAACAAAAGTAAGCATAGCGAAGCGAAGAACGATACGGATGGGAATGGTCATAAGCGTAAGTACTTGCGCAGATAACATATCGACATGTTGACACACGAACTGCGAATGACATCTTGATCAGAAGTTGGGGAACATGAATGAATGATTGCGAGAGATTGAATTTGTAAACGAGAGAGGCAGCTTTAAAGGAAATGAAAAGAAAGAAAAAACACTAAAACTCAAATCTTCCTGACCTTAGGACTGCGAGAAGCCTTGCAATCTAACCTCCAGTTAAGCCTCCTAGCCCAAGCTTGAGCTGTTCTTGAGATATTTCGATGGTTAATGCCAGGTGAAAGGTAGACTGGTTTCGCACGGCAAGAACTTGGCAAGAACTTGGTGGCTCACACGGATTGACAAAAGCTATACTAGAAAGAAGGCTAGTAGCGAATAGGCATCCGCCACTTGCTCGTGTCCTGTCCGTTATCTGGTATTGATATGAGTTGCCGTAGACTTGGCGCTAGGTAACTTTAAGCACCAACCACGATGACATTGACGAGTCTTCCACACGATGCTTTATACCGTATTCTGTGTTTTCTCTCTGTCCGCGAAATTATCTGCCTTCGACTGGTGAGAATTTGTTGCTTATCACATCCCTTCATGTTGAACATTTGCTTGTAATGATTCATATAGGTTTGCAAAGACCTTCGCGACTTGACATTCCATAGGGCTGTATGGTATGATGCCTACAAATATGCAAAACTTCCTCGTCCCCTTGGACCACTCGACTCTCAGTCTCGCGAGTTCTTAGAAAACACCCTCGTAAAAAGCACTCAAGTCGGCGTCAAATGGAACAAACAAGCTTTAACGATAACATCCAAGGCAACTTGGTTCGAGCCCGAGTGGTCAACTTTACAAGGAGATCATTGGGAGGTGGTGTCTGGCTTATGGCTCGTCATCCCGCTCATCAGTGGCCCCGACATCATGTGCTACGATCTGGAGCGTGGGCTGCGTCACGTCGTATATCACACCGATGGCGCTCAGATTCTATCATTCAAAAGCACTACTTCTGAGGCAGCGGACGGAGGGTCTATTATGCATGCTATCATCATGGAAAGCGCTCGCAGTAACGCATCATTCTCACAGTTAGTTGTCTTCAACTCTTACATTCAGCCACTGAACAATTCTCTGTCAGTAAACTGCTCTCCATTCGCTTCTCTTCTGACGGTCCACTGTTGGAATCTTCCATGGTGATACCAAGCGATATAGTCGGAATGGCAATGTCGCAGCTGTCCGCTGGGCAGCGCTTGGTATGCATGAGCGATCATTTGACTGGTACCTTGAACTTGGCAGTGGACAGCCATACCCGCGTCCTGTACCGATTTCCGCCGCCAAGTTCCATCATTGTATGTATCCAATACTCGGACCTTCTGTCAATTTCTCATCATCAAATCTAGGAGCCCACATTCGCTATAACTTGCATGCAGGAGACATACCTGAAGCGTCTCATTGCCACTGAAACCCATATTCTCGCAATGTTTACACCTCTCACTATTGTCAGCCAGCTCGATGAGGGAGGACACTCGCGGGCGATCATCCAGGCGTTCGCTCTTCCGCAGGCGGACACCACCACAGGATCCTCCTCACCCACCCTTCAACTCACCCACGAAGGACATTGCTATCTCGATATCGAACGCGTTTCGCTTCTATGCGGCAGCATGACCAACGCCATCACAGGGCAAACCCAAATCAAATTCCTTACCCATTGCATGAGACTTAACCTGACGAAATACTTTGCTCACCGAATAACGTTGTCGCCTCCTCTGCCAGGGCAGAAATTAGGGAATATATCTCTTTCCACCGAACATCTTTTCTCCGTTCCGGGTTACGCTAATACCATGAAGTTTACCACGTCGTTTGATGGACACGCGCGGGGTATCTGTGTTCTACATAACGAAAGGGACGGGACAGAATTCTACGGATTTACGATCGACGCTAGTAGTATGGATCAACCCTGTTCAGGCATCGTTGGGCCAGGGGTCGATATCAAAGAGGTCGAAGCGACAGAGTCGTTCCCTTCGTCTTTAAGGATGACGTGGAATGTGAAACTGGCGTTCGATGGCAATCTAGGTAGGGTGTGTTACAGGAAGCGGGGTGAAGAAGGAAGGAATGTACTGGCTATTGTAGATCTGGCCTAGGCTACTATGTAGACTGCTTATTTATACGCATGGATTGATAGATCTGCCACGATTTGAATAATGTACTACGCGTATCGTGAGGGGTACTCCATAAGCAGCAACTGTCAATGACTTCCGTAATGCGGAATCAATGCGTGTACTGTACTGCCACTGGCATTAGCTACGTAGTCTGCCTAGCAGGCTGACTATAGAAGCAAAACAATCGTTCCTTCTGTCACTGGCACCTGACGGTCTCGAGTCTCGACGTATCAATTGCATGGACTATCTTCGCAGTTTTGGCTCTGCTGCGGTCTCGACTCTCGTGCAGAAATCGGGGCTAAATCTACCATTCTCGTTGGGACCCAAGGTTTACTCTTGCGAGACATTTTGGACCTTGTACGACGCTACGAAACGGGTAGGTGTGCAACTCTCATCATGGGTCAAAGTTGTGCCCAAACTAATCTGCAAGGCAGGAAGATGGCAGTCTGGTCTCGGTCTTTGAGTATGATCTCACTCACCCGCTCAATAAATCCACTATACCTCTCGCCCGAAACTCCCTCCGAAAGCTGCGCACCATACGACATCCTGATGTACTCAGATTTATCGATGTCGTAGAGTCTGATTCAGCTATTTGCATTATGACCGAAAGAGTCCGCCCTCTTCCTCTCGCGTTATCCAACTCGTCCTCCAATGTTCCACGCGAGCGAGAGGACTGGCTTATTTGGGGACTACACCGGATTTCAGTCAGAATTGTTCTTTTAGTCTGCGTTAAGACCTCACTTACATTTGAGCCTAGGTAGCTCTTGCGTTTCTGAATGACTCTGCTTCTTCCACCCACGGGAATGTCCGTCCGAATGCCATCTTCATCACCCCTTCAGGAGAGTGGAAGTTGGGAGGCTTTGAGGTGTTGAGTAATCCAAAGGACGATCTTTCTGTTATATATGTGCGTCTTTTTTTCTTAAGCGTCTTCTGTGCCTCCCAGTAATAGTAACACTCCCATTACAGACCATGGGCGGCCTGATGCCAGACGCTATGGCTTGCGCGCCCCCAGAAGTCAAGAAGGAGGGCTGGTCCGTCCTCAGGGAGTGAGTCATCGGTTACCGAAACCTATACATCATACAGGTGCCTTTCTAATTCGTGTAATGACAGCGTCCCAATATCAGCTGCGGATGCGTATGCCCTCGGCCTGCTTTTACATTCCGTCTTCAATCCCACCCACCCTCCTCCACCAACTGCTCAGCCGCCTCATCCACCACCTCAACCCTCTTCCAAAGGTGCCATACCCTCGTCCGTCTTCCCCTCCTTCAAAAAGCTCCTCAACCCGAACCCCAAATTACGGATGTCACCTAAGAACCTCCTAGACATCGGGATGACAGAGTCAGATGGGGAAGGTCATGGATTTTTCGTACATAATCGGCTCGTCAAGGTCTGCGCTGGACTAGACGGTTTTACTCTGAGTAGTGAATCTGATAAGGCATCATTGCTACGGTAGGTTTCTCTTTCCAAGGCTCGTGTTGATATTCGTTGACTTAGCTGTGTAGGACGCTGAAAGAATCCGGTTCTTCCTTCCCCCCTGAATTCGTCTCCTACCGCGTTCTCCCTTGCCTCGTCTCCGCGCTCGAGTTCGGTGGTGCCTCAGCAGCAACTATTGTCCCTCTCGTCCTCCAATTCGGCAAGAATGTTGCGCCTGATGACTATAGCTCGGTCATTGTTGCTCCTCTGGTCAAGCTATTTGCCAGCGCTGACCGCGGCACACGTATCGCGCTTCTCGATAGTCTCCCCGACTTCGCCGAGAAGCTGGATAAGAAGACTGTCGTCGATAAGATTTGGCCAAATCTGGTATGCGTTTTTCATCCATCGTTGAAAGATAGCTCATTTAACCCTCATTCATGCAGCAAACTGGCTTCACTGATACAGTTGCCGTCATTCGAGAAGCCACCGTCCGTGCTGTCGTCCTACTGTCTCCCAAGGTACTGTGACTTCGGATTTAAAAAATTGTTTCTGACGGACCTTTACAGCTATCCGACCGCATACTCAACAACGAACTACTTCGCCACCTTGCTCGCCTCCAATCAGACCCAGAAGCTTCCATCCGCACGAATACCTGTATCCTTATCGGTCGCCTGGGTCCTTCACTCGGGTATAACACCAAACGTAAAGTTCTCGTTCCTGCGTTCAGCATGGCGCTCAAGGATCAGTTTGTCCACGCTCGTGTGGCGGGAGTTATGGCGTTCATGGCAACTGCGGAGTGCTTCGAGGTGGAGGACGTGGCTGGCAGAGTTGTCCCCGCTGTTGTAGGGGCTACGCTGGATAAGGAAAAGTCAGTTCCTAGGTCTCGTCCTGCTCCTTGAATATATGCTGATGACTTCAAATGTATAGGTTGGTCCGTGACCAGGCCTTCAAAGCCGTCGAGCTTTTTATCAAACGTTTAGAAGCTCACGCTTCGACTATGGTAGATCTGCAGTCTATCACCCATCTGCATTGCTTATACGTTGCTTTGTTCGCAGCCGGAAACAGCATCCACAGAAGAGGGCGAGAACGATCTACCCGCAAGGCTTCCGGGTGCATTCACCCAGGCTGGCCTTGTGAATTCAGCGACGGGCGCAGCAGCCGCTCTCACAGGGTGGGCTGTATCGTCCCTTGGTAAAAAGGTGAGTTTGATTTTCCCCCTTGAGATTGATGACTTAGAAAGATACGCTCAGCTTGCCCCTGCCGATTTGCAAACAACAATGACAAGTACTATTGACGGATCGACATCAGCACCAACTATCAATGGCCACAATAGTCCTCTATTTCGTCCCCCTGCCTCATCTGCTTCTCCCTCAGGGAATCCATCAAGAGGCAAAGGTCTACAGCTGGGTGGAAATAAGGCCCCGCCTTCAGCGCTTGCTGCACAGCTCGCTGAAGAGGCCGCTAACGAGACAGGGCAAGGCAGTAATCGTTTGTGGAACGACGATTTAATCGATATCAACGCTGATGAAGGAGATTGGAGTACGTTCTTAATTTTTGACGGTATCACCAGATCCATACCGAGCTAAATTTTTCTTTTCAGGCGTGTTTGAGAGCGCTCCAGCTATTATAGAACCAAAGCCCATGTCTGCAACCAATGGTCTAGGATTTGGCATATCATTACGAGCCAGTTCTCCGCGTAGGTATCGTTTACTTTCCTGTGATTTTTCCTGCTGATCTATCGTGTAGCTATCGATGAATGGGGCGCGATGGCATCAGCTTCTCGATCTACGAGTCGCTCGCCTGATCCATGGACATCGCCACCCTCCCAAATCTCACGTGCGCTCTCACCACAACCCCGCAGGTCCATCGTACCAGCATTCTCCCCTGCTTCAAGCGCTAGATCAACACCCGTATCATCCCCTCGACCTCTCCCAAATACTGCTGACTCCGCGCAGCCTACCAACATGGCTGGTTTGTCTAAGGAGGAGAAGGCGGCAGAGATGGCGAGGAGGAAGGAGGAGAGGCGTTTGGTGAGTGTTATTTGTTTGCTTGGAATGAAGAGGTTGTGTGTACTGATGCTTGTTGACTCTTTGCAGCGGATTGAGAAGCTAAAGGAACAGAAAAAGAATGCTGCTGCCGCTGGAAAGGCTTGAGCATTGAGTGATTGTCGTTGCTGTTGCGTATAGTACACCGCCCTCAGAGTAATCTTACATATTGGGCTGGGTATCAATCCTGTGTTGTTGGTGGATGTAAGTGCGGACCGCTCGACCGGCCGTACATTGAATTCTCAGTGAACGGCTTCTACAAGTACATGAAACTATGTTGAGTAGAATGGACAGAATGAAACTGATCACCAAGGAACATGTTGTATGCTCGAAATCTGCCACGCCGACCTTCTTTTCTGCGATAGTAGCTATCATACTACCCCTATGTTAGGCACGCCGCGTCTAGAACGCGCGTCCCAAAGATAAACTGGCTTCACCATCGCAAGTGAAGTGAAAATTCGCTGGCATGGATTGCGCATGGACCTGTCCTTGCCAACCATACCGAGGTCATCGCAGATGGGAATAGGCGTGTTCCGATGTCTCTGGGAAAAGTGCAGGGGTGGTAGGGGTAGATGCGGCGCGAAGTCGGGTGCAAAACATCAGGTATGTGTGCGATGTCGAAAGTGGAATAAACGCGGGGTCGGTGATGCGTGGTTAGGACTGCTTCGACACATCAGTCTGAAGTTCGTCGAGTGGAATACGGACAAGCCGTTCTCCAGTAAGTGGTGTCGTGTCATCACTAGAGTCCGCCGGATGCTGTTCACGGCTATTTACTGCAGGATGATCAGTTTAAAATCGCAAGCTCATATAGATTGAACATTACTCACAGAATAGACTCAACGTTTGGAACATGAGAGGCCACTGTTCGAGCACCTGACCATGTACTGTTCAAATAGATCAATGATAGATATTGAAGATCGCTTAAGAATGTATACCTTGGCCAGCATCAGCCATAACCTCGCAGTCATCTGCGAGACCTTCTATGCGTTTCAGGAAGAGAGCGCTAGCACGTTCAAGCGCAGCAACGGCCTCGAATTCTTTCTTTTTCTCCTGCAAACGTGATATTGCGGATGCATTATTGGCCTGCGATGCTAGGGATGCGGCATGTGAGATGCGACTCGGTGCGACGGACTGGCGCATAGTGTCTATTGCTAGAGGGGGTAGTTGTTGAGGACGATGAGTTTATGGTGTTCGTCGTCGTGGGTGACGGTGATGAGACATTTTTCTAACTCCGACTCCGATTTCCAAAGTTTCAACTTTGAACTTTCAAGCCAACTTCCAACAAGTTCAAACGTATACTGCGTACAAGATCAAGATGATCAACTATAACGATACACGCTGATTCAGTTCATGCTCCAGCAAGCCAAAGCTGGATTATCTGTTGCGGTTTTCAAATTGTGCTCGTTCTGATTTCCCAACTTACGTGGCTATCGGTCACCGCAATGGTTCAGACACCTGGTCCATTGTTTTGATCACGTCGTGCAAAATTGCAGCTTTGTGATAACCCCTTGATCGTGTCCTGTCCCTATGTTTCCGTGCCCATCAATTGGCTTTATGTTGTCTCATAGTGTCGAAGCCGAGCCCTTGCTTCATCGACGAGAAGAGGCTGGGTGCTGCAGCCTCCTGATCTCTATCTTCAAACCATGCACTTTTCCTCGTGCGCTAGCTGACCCGACCCGCTCTACGAGTCCAACATCCTCTGTGGCCCCGCTTGGCACTTTACTACTCTCCCTGGATCTCGCAGCATCATACGGCGAGCAGACATCTGCTTGGAGACTTACGACTGCGACTCTGGGCTTGCGGGTGTGCTCGGTCGGGTTTCATGACGTGCCCCTGCAAGAGATGGTAGGGTCTTTTCCCTTGGATGTTTGATACAAAATAGCGAAATAGGTACTGAGCTCACGACGCCGTGAGGCAGTCGCGTAGATCAGCACGGAATCGAAGGTATATCATAGCGCCGTCAATAGTGATGGATGGTAGTGAAGAAGATGACTGCAGGTTCGACCATATATCGTCACTAGTTATATTCGTCTTGTACCGCTGTTTTCATCTCCATGAATTCATGGGACGCGCAGTCCAGCGCAGACAACTACTTCACATATGTAGACGAAAGACCGCAGGATCCTAAAATCCACCGCATCAGCCAATATGAGGATGAGTCGATGATGACGAACAATATGACGTGCTCCACGAGCCAGCGAAGTGGAAGAAGGTGGGACTGAGAGATCGCAATGAACATTGAACGGGGTTTTCTGAGACTTGTTATCAGGGCCAAGGAGCAAACCAGAGCAGAAACAATTGTCGTGCTTTGCCGCTGAGAAACACCTTACGAAGCGAGATGCAAGAGACACTACAAAGGCGCGAATGAGAAGCGTTGTTTGTTCCCTCACGGTGTGCATCGGAGACGGTATACTAGTAATACCAGGCTAATGTCAAGCTGACGTTCAACGCTGCCCAAACGCTGCTAGTCTTCTTCAAATTATTCGGCCAGACTCCAAGTACACCTCCTTTTAAACGTTTCAGGTACGAGACCAGCAGAACGTTTAATTCGCGACAATTCTGTAGCGCCTGGCACCATTGAAGTCAACACTGCAGTGACAGGCAGTGACATTGCCTTGAGGCTTGCAGTCAAGGCTGTGACCTGTTGTTCCCACCAACGTGGGACTACTATCACTCCTGGGGTTCTGCAACATTTTCAATAAATCTTTTGTAACTCCTCAACCACATCATATTTTCTTCTACGGATTTGCACCATTATAGATTCGTAGCTGCTCTATATGAATCTGATTTTTTCTTATTTTAAGGATTTTGTGGTGGAGTGTCGGATGAAGGCCGAGAAAATTCAGGGTCTGACTGGTATTCTGCAAAACATGGTCACGTCGTGTCACACATCGGCACAGTAGCGGCACCGTCAACTTTCACTTAGAGGAGATTGAATTTCTTACACACTCTCCTATCTGCTGTCACGCTTTCATACATGTCGTCAATCCTCTGTCTATAGCATCTTAAAACAAGAGAATGGCCTCTATCGAAATTGTGTTCTGACACCCTGACGAGGTGTTTGATATGCTCCGGGTGTAACTTTTTGAATATCTCTCTAGGATCTATGGGATCTGGATCATTTATGATTATACAAGGTTGCAAATCACCACTATTCTGTCTCTCGCAGCTGCAACACTCAAGAAAATTTTATTCTACTTGGACAATACATCATCTCTAAGTAGCCTACATACACATGAATTTTTTCGAGGTGATTCAAGCAGCGCATTGAGGTGTTTTGAACATTTTGCATATTACATGCCAGTTGCAGATTCCCAGGAGTGATAGTAATCCTGTCTCCAACTACTTCGTGCACCCTACTAAGTATTTCGCTCAGACTGATACACAACCGTCAACTCTTTACAATGGGTAAAGGCAATCAGTCGAGGCGTTCGAAGTCAGTTCCGCCTCCAGAAGCCTCTGGGTCTAGTGGAGCAATAGCTAGTGAAAGCTCGGTATGTCGCTCATGCTTGTTTATGAAACTCATTACTATTGAAACGCTGACTCTGATGCGTCATTCGTCCAGGGCCGACGCCATGGAAAAATTCGTCAGGTTTGGGGGGAAGTCAAGGATGGCGTGACTAAAAAGATATTTGTGAGTCGACGAGGATCCTGTGTTTCCTGGAATAAGGCTGAGGATTGTACAGAAGCGTTCAAAGGATTCCCCAAGTGTTCTCCCGACCGCCGATCATGAAGGTTCTTCATCGACTCCGAATATCGAGGTAGGTACTCGAACTCACCCTTAACCTTCATTATCTTTAAATTCTCGTGGTCTCGTATGTTTAGAATACCCCTTCTGCTCCTGGTGTGGAACAAGATCCTGATCCCCGATCGGCACTTGGAGATGCCCATGATGCTGCAGATCAGATAAATACACTTTCGGGACCTGCGAGAACTGTGGCGTCCGCAGGCCAAAATGCATCAACCGCTCTCGATACTGCAGACACTTTCCAGGACACATATATCAAACCCCTCAGGATATTCAACTCTGTTATTGGGACGATGGCGGATGTATGGGCCCTTCCACTCGATCGGATCCGAACTGAACTAATCCTGTTCCCTAGGTACATCCATATGCAAAGATGGCACTTGGCGTGTTGTCATGTGCGTCAAAAGTAAGTTCGGTTTCGGTCTCGTTCCTATATCCTGCTGATCGATTATCCGTGTAGATCGTTCTCGATCAAGTGGATCGCGACGAAGCGATACTGGACCTTCTCAAGAAGTTGGGTCAAGTTTACGACTTCATGGCACAAGAGGACACCCTTGGCCAGATTTCGACCATGCATCGTATCGTTGGACAGATCTCTCAGCAGACCCTTGAATGCGCCCATTTCATTAGAGATTACTCGGAGACGAAGAACTTTTGTGAGTATTCAACAAGCTATTACTACACTGTGCACATTCTTATTCTTCTACCATCATCATAGGGAGGAGACTCGGAAAGAACGTCGTCGCGGAAACAGATGATACGATCCAACAGTACCGTGACGTCCTGGATGCGCTCATGCAAAACTTCCGGGACCAAGTCACTCATGACGTGGCCATCTTCATTCACCGAACGGGTAAGGATTCGGTCGTGCTTGCGACTTGGCATTCATCTACACATTTTCAGGCGAAATACTGGACCTCAGTGGTATAACTTATGCGGAGGGCGCAGGACTAAATACCACGAAGCGGTGCCTGCCAGGGACTCGCACAGAAATGCTCTCTGAGATAATGGGATGGATCAACGACACCGGAGATGATGTTCCACGCGTGCTATGGCTATCTGGTCCTGCTGGGACGGGAAAATCAGCCATTGCTCACACGATCGCTAGCTCATTCAAGGATGTGGGAGGGCTTGGTTCCTGTTACTGCTTCGACCGGGAAAAAAGCACGGAAAATCGGCATGAAAAAGTGTTCTCGACCATCGCGCGCGACCTGGCTGACCGTCATCCGGAGATGAGACGAGCGCTGGCGGACGCAGTTAAGAATGAAACTGCGCTCCAGAAGACAGAGGATGTCGTCCAGCAGTGGCAGAAGTTTATTATGGAACCGCTAGGGAAGCTTTCCGAGTCAACTGTGGGACCTGTCGTGATCGTGATCGACGCATTGGACGAGAGTGGTGCAGCCAAGACACGAAGCGACCTTCTGCGCATTCTTGCCGGTAAACTTCAGGACCCAGATGTTCCCAAAATCACGGAACTCCCAAAGAACTTCCGGATTGTTGTTACCTCTCGCCCGCTACGCGACATCTATGACGAGTTTTCCGGCGCTCAGCATATTCTACGCATTTCGATGGACAACATTCCACCAGCCACCGCACAGCGCGATATCCACGCTTACGTATCGAAGAAGCTGGCAGGGCTCCTGCATTTCAGCGGCAAGGAGTTCGCAGCCCTAGCTAAGAAAGCGGACGGCATGTTCGAGTGGGGGCGTCTTGCTTGTGAATACATCAAAGCACCCCCTGCTGGCATGTCCCGAAGGGATTCCTTCAACGCTCTGGTATCCCTCGATCCTGCTTCTCGGGAACACTTGCTGTATGGAATGTATCACTTCATTCTGACGGAAATCATGCGACAGGATACATATGCAACCGCGGAGTTTCAGCAGACACGGCTAGTGAGGTTCCGCTCCGTGATGGGACAAATCCTTGGCGCAGCCGAACCCCTCCCTTTAAATTCCCTTAACGCCATGCGGAACCATTTTCCAGACAAAAGAGACCAATATGAAGTGGAGATCATAGTGGAACACATGGGACCCCTCCTCAGCGGCACTACCGACCCATCTACCCCAATTCGGCCCCTTCATGCATCCTTTCGCGATTTCCTGACGGACCCATCATGCAGTGGGGAGTTTTTTATCGAGGTGTCGAAGGTGCACCGCGACCTCGCTTTTGCATCACTTCGAGTGATGGCACATGGACTTTCGTTCAATATATGTGGTATAAAATCATCATACCTCCCTAATTCCGAAGATCCCGACCTGCGAGAACGAGTTGAGAGGTGCATTCCCCCACACCTATCCTACGCCTGTCGATTCTGGGCTGCGCATGTATCGACGCAGGGCTTCGATATAGAGGTAGCAAAGGAAGTGAAATTGTTTTTCGACCACGAGCGACTGCTCTTCTGGCTCGAAGTACTCGGCCTTACCAATGCACTCAGCGGCGCAGTTGTAGCCCTTCCGGCTGTTGCCCAGTGGCTGAAGGTGAGGACATGTTTATCGACCACTGTCAGACACGCTAACGCGCACAACAGAGGCATTCCGAATACAAAGATGCCTCGTCGACTGCGATGGACGTCCAGAGATTCGTTCAAATTTTCGGCAGCATGATTGTGCACAGCACACCACATCTATATGTATCAGCTCTACCATTCTCTCCGGTCAACTCTGCGATATCCACACAATTCACTGCAGGGTTTCCGAAGACTCTTCGTGTGGCACGTGGACGTGATTTGCACTGGGCGGCTGCTCAGAGCGTGCTCAGGGGCCACACTGATGTTGTTACATCGGTCTCGTTCTCGCGAGACGGAACTCGCATCGTGACTGGTTCGAGGGACAAGACTGTCCGGCTGTGGGATGCAGCGACGGGGCAGCCAGTCGGGGAGCCCTTGCAGGGTCACACTGATCGCGTTAACTCGGTCTCGTTCTCACCGGATGGAACTCGCATCGCGACTGGTTCGGAGGATAGGACTGTTTGGCTGTGGGATACAGCGACGGGGCAGCCAGTCGGTGAGCCCTTACTGGGCCACACTGGTGGTGTTAACTCAGTATCATTCTCGCCGGATGGAACTATCATTGTCACTGGTTCGGAGGATAAGACAGTCCGGCTGTGGGACACAGCAACAGGGAAGCCAATTGGTGAACCCTTACAGGGGCACACTCATCAGGTCGCGTCGGTCTCGTTTTCACCGGATGGCACTCGCATTGTGTCTGCTTCTTACGATCACACTATCCGGCTGTGGGTTGCAGCGACAGGGCAGCCAGTTGGTGAGCCCTTGCGAGGGCACACTAGTCTTGTTCTGTCAGTTTCGTTCTCGCCGGATGGGATGCGCATCGCCACGTGTTCTTCCGATCACACTGTCCGACTATGGGATGCAGCGACAGGGCAGCCAATCGGTAAGCCCTTGCTGGGCCACACTACTGAGATTCAGTCTGTCTCATTCTCGCCGGATGGAACTCGCATTGTGTCTGGTTCTTGTGATCACACTGCCCGGGTGTGGGATGCAATGATGGGGCAGCCGGCTGCTGAGCCCTTAGAGGGCCACACTCATTCCGTTCAGTCAGTCTATTTCTCGCCGGATAGAACTCGCATGGTGACTACTTCGGATGCCAAGACTTTCTGGCTGTGGGATGCAGCAACGGGGCAGCCAGTTGGTGAGCCCTTGCGAGGGCACACTGACAAGGTTGATTCAGTCTCGTTCTCGCCGGATGGCACTCGCATTGCAACTGCTTCTCGGGATGAAACTGTCCGGCTGTGGGATGCAGCAACGGGGCAGCCAGTTGGTGAGCCCTTGCAAGGGCATTCAGTCTCGTTCTCGCCGGATGGAATTCGCATCGCAACTGCTTCTGAGGATGGAACTGTACGGCT